GACCAGCCTTGGGGAATACAATTACGAATCCAGTAGTCCCAGCCCTTCAGGAATACACATTCTAGATGGTTGGTTCTTTTATCAAGTTTCTTAGCTTTTTCACAGTTTTTTTTTTTTTATCCTTAGAAATTTCACTCTGCGTTTTTGCCACAAATTCCAATGAACCTTTCACAGATGCTACGACTACTTAGGAATTTGTGTGCAGCACAGTGGTAGGCACTGAGAATCCACGGACAGGGTCCTTGTCCTGGAGGGTTGATGGCCTTTCAAGAGGCTGATGAAGTGCTTCTCAGCCTGGCCAAAGGGCATCAGTGCCACCAAGACCAATTCAGAAAAGTAGTCTCGGAGACAAAGAAAGATAAGTACCGCATGTTCTCACTCATATGTGTGAGTTTAAAATATAAATAAACTGAACTTTCAGAAGTAGAAAGTATACAATCAACTTTGTTACAATAAAAATAAATTTTAAAAATTTTAAAAAGAAGTAGAGAGTAGAACTGTGGTTACTAGAGGCAGGGAAGGGGAGTGTGAGAGGAGAAATAAGTTTTAGTGGTATACAGTAGTGCTAGGCTTCTGTAGTTAACAATAACTTATTGTATGTTCTCAAATGGCTAGAAGAGAGGAGCTCAAATGTTCTCATCACAAAGAAATCATACATTTTTATGAGGATGAATTTGCTTACTACCCTGACGTGATCATCACACATTGTGTACTTGTATTAAAATATAACTTTGTGCCCCATAAATATGAACAATCAATATTTGTCCATTAATAAATAAATAAATTCCTAAGAAAAACATTTAAAAATAGAAAAGAAAAGTAGTCTAGGAGACAGCGCTGGCTAACGAAAACCTCTGGTCTACTCTGTGTTTGGAGTCCTCATTAAAGTGACCCTTGTTGACAGATGGGACTCTGGAAGGGACATTCTTCCTTCTTCTGGACCTGGTTCGAGGGCATCTCTCCCAAGAGCCTCATGCTGCCTGAAATGGTAGAAAATACACCCACTGCTTAATAACAGGTATTGGTACCAGATGCACTTTTGGTTTGTTTGTTTAGTAGGAGACTGTAGTAGATTGAATAGTGGCCTCTGAAAAATATGTTCATGTTCTAACCTCCATAAACTCTGCATGAAAGTGACCTTATTTGGAAAAAAAGGTCTTTGTAGATATAATTTAAGTTAAGGATCTCAAGACAGATCGCCCTGAATTTAACGTGGCTCTAAATGCAACGACTAGTGTCCTTATAAGAAGAGAAAAGCAGAAGGAGATTTGAGTCTGAGACACAAAGTGGGAAGAAGGCCACGCAAAGATGAAAACAGAGATTGACGCCTCCCAACCTTAGGCCAAGAATGCCTGAAGCAACCAGAAGCTGTAGGGACAATGTGTGACCATCCCCCTGAGCCTCCTGAAGGAGAGCAGGAGCGAAGCGGTCCTGCCAGCCCCTTTATTTTCGATTTCTGGGCTCTGCAACAGTGAGAGAATAAAGTTCTGTTGCTTTCAGCCACCAAGTTTTGGTCATTTGTCAGGAAACAAACACAGAGACTTAAAACACAGGCTTATTCTAAATGGGCTTTCCCAGAGAGTTTCCAGAAAAGGGGGAAGAGAAAGAGCTCGGGTCAGTGTCAGCATTAAGAATGATGACACTGTTGTGCCTCAGGCTCTGTGGTAGTTGCTCCGTATGCTTCCTTCTGCGTTTAGTCTGCGCCACAATCCTATGAGCTTGCTACTGTCATCATCCTCTTACAGATGAGGAAACTGAGGCTCAGACAGGTCAAGTGATGGCATAAGTAATAGAGATGGGCTCACACAAAGGTCTGTGCGATTCAGAAACCCTGGTTCTTTGTGCTAATCACACCCATAAACAGGCATGCTCGGTCTGAAAGAGATTTTGTTCTTCTCAACCTCTGTGTCCTGACACTTTTCTTCCTTTTCCACAGACCCACAGTGGTCTGAAACATTTTGGGTTTATTTTGCATATTATGAGTTTTCTTTAAAAATTACTTTTAACATAAAGGTATTGCCACATCACAATTTATGGGCATTTTTGTATATGCGCACACTACAAAATGATTAATTGAGCGTTGTATGTTTTTATCAAAGGACACAACGCAAAGATTTCTCCGAAGTCCTGTTTGACTAGAGATGATTAATTTTAGTTTTCACATGAGCGGCATAATGTTATTAATCATTTAATATGTTTAATCATAATCTCTGTAATTCCTAATTAGGTTTATTAAACTGAAACATCCAGCAGTTGTGCACACATCCAAATCTAAGTCTTTTTTTTAGGATGAGAAGGAGCTCATTTTAATTTTGCATTTAAACAGCAACTTCTAATGGGATGGGGAAAAATGGACTGGAAGCTAGAGTCTTAGCAGCTGCTTCTGCAAATTTAGAGTCTTGTAGTAGAGTACTAAAACTCTTTACCCTTCTGAAAAGTGACAATCTCACGATTCAAGGTCACTTGCATGTTGTGGATGTGGAACCAAACATCGTATTACCAGCACAGAAAACATAGTTCCTGCTCTGTTTCAGTCTCAGTGTTATAATATTGTTCTCCCTCTGTCACTTGAAGATGTCAAAGCTGATCGTTCATTCATTCATTCCTTAGTTTATGCAAGCACCCCTCATTCATTCTTTCATTCAGTTAATGAGCCCACCAGCCATTAAGCAGATATTCATCATTCGTGCCCTGTGCTGGTCACATCATACTCCTGCTGTTATCCTTAAGTAGCTTCTCATAGCATTTAGGATGAAGTTCAGACTCCTGTTTTGAACACAGGATGCTTTGTGACCCAGCCCCCTGCCTACCACTGTAATCTGCTTTCCTTCATACATGCCCTTCTGACCAGCAGCGCTAAAGTCCACATACACTCCCCTGAATCCAGAACATCATTTATTGTCTCTGCATCTTTGCACAGGTTTTTCCCTCTCTTGGTACAGTGTCAGCCTTCTTCACCTCACCTCTTAGACATCTTCCACTTAAAATGTAACAACTGAAGAACTGGTTAGCCTTGCTGATCCTGTAACTGTGCTGTGTATTCCTGATTTAAAGTTGCCTAGCTCTTTGTGATTTACTCTCATCCCATCACTTAACAGTCTGTATTACAATTGTCTTTTTCTACCTCTTTCTCTTCCACTAAACCGGGAACTGCATGTGATTTGGAGGACTGACCAGCAGATAGCAGTTTCTCAGTAAGATGTCTTTAACAAGCAAATGAGAACTTTTTCATCATGTTTCCTAAGAGCAGTTTACTCTGCTCTTTTGACATCTTTTTAAATCATCATCACTCTAAAAAATTCATGATTTTCCATTTATTGAATGTATTCCATGTGCCAAAAACTCTGCCAAGGTGGCAAACATTATTGCATTCAATCTTCACAAAGCCTGTAAGGTGTGAACTTGTATTGTTTCTCATTTTCCAGTTAAGAAAATTATCATCACCCCCTTCCTATTTACTCCAACAGAATAGCAAAAGATGACTAAGTACATTGTTGTTGTTATCATCATGACATTGCACTTGAAAGCTGAAGAAGTCATCTGGTAGGGCTTTTGATACCACATCAGCTCAGAAGAATGGTGTACCGGCTACCCGAAGATCTTGACTTCAAAATGCAACTCAGGGTATGTTAGTAAGGAAAATGCAAATGAACTCTTCCAGTAAATACCAGGGCTGATGAGAAAGTTGTTAATTATGCCCATGTTATTTGGGTGTTTCTTTTATATTTCACTTTGTAAGATTGCCTCCTTCTCTAAGTCTTTATTATTTTACACCTGGCTGCCTGCATTGATAGTTTTGTCCCAGTTATATGCTTCTAAATTGCTTACAAATGGGTGAGGATGATTTCTTGCTCCTGAATTTATAGGCTTAGTGGTAAGCTCTCCATCATAGTTACAAAGCAGCAGGTGTCTGATGCGGATGGCCTGCCTCTACTGCCACCTACAGGCAGTATGTGCTAATTGCAGAAAAAATATTTTAAAATGAAGTACTCAAATGTTAAAACTCTAGGACTAAGAATATAGAAATGTCTATAATGATACCATATGTTACTGTGACTTTTCTCCTAGTTTCTGACTATATATGGTATCAATGTTATATCATGTTACCCAGGCTTTTTCTGGAGATGTGTGGGTGGGAGGAGGTGGAGTAATGAATTCTGCTAATAATGTTACATTGTCTACACCAACATCATTCAGCAGAACTTTCTGCATGGATGGAAATGTTCTATGTCTGCCCTGTCCAATATGGAAGCACTAGCTACATGTGGATATTGAATACTTGAAATGCAGTGAATGCAAACAAACTAAATTTTGTATATTATTCAATTTTATTTCACTTAAATTTAAATAGTCACACGTGGTCAACTGTTGTGGACAGCACAGGTTTATATGCTTAAGAAACTAAAAGCCAAGAGCTTAAAAAACAAGTCAATCAGCTGGTTACTTGGAATTCAGAATGCCAAGGAGCCTTTTCAAATTTTTCCTCCTGCATCTATTAATATTTTATTTTACACCTCAGCCATTATATAGGCATATCTCAAGGTTCTGAACAGCATCGTTTAAGGAATATGCTCTCCTTCCTTGATTGATTTTTACCCGCTTCTTGATAAGGTTTTCACTCCCTATTCCCACCCTCCAACACCTCCTAGCACCCTTTTCTAACTTTATTTTTCTCCATAGTGCTTATTTCCTTCTTCCAACTCTATATTTATTTATTAATGAGTTCTATTATCTGTCTTCCCCTAGGAGGATTACGCTCCATGCTGTTAAGGATTTTGTCTGCTTTACCCACTGCTGAATCCCAGATCCATGATGCACACCCAGTAGATGCTCAAAAAATATTTGTTGAGTGAATGAATGAATGAATGACTCAGCAGTTTCTTCCCTTTCCTTCTTCCTTTGTTCTGGCCTTTCCCCACCATTCAGGGGAAGAGCACATATGTTGGAACAGAGGATTTGGGTCCACTCAGAGCCTCTTTGCTCTCTTCTTCTTCTGTTAGCAGACAGATGACGCAGCACCCACGGATGGTCAGCCCCAGACACAACCTCCCGAAAACACGGAAAACAAGTCCCAGCCCAAGCGGCTGCATGTCTCCAACATACCCTTCAGGTTCCGGGATCCAGATCTGCGACAAATGTTTGGTGTAAGTATTGCCTTTCTTCTCTGCAGTGCCCACTCTGGGGGACCCAGAGTCTTCCCTTCTCGTGTAAGTTCTCGGTATTTACAATACCCAGGTGAGATGTGGGGAAAAGGCACGTTAGGGCCTAATCTGTGGGGATTTTGTAGCTAGGAACTCTATGGTTTTAGTATAAATTTCTCTGCATATTATCACCATGTTTCCACTTTGCCAAATGGTCTTTTTCTAATAAGTAAATTGAATATCCAATGGAAATTTAACTCCTAGATTACCCACTGTTGAAAAAAGCCCACTGATATTCCCAAATCCAGAGGCCTGAGACCCCATGTTATAGCTAAAATAAACCTTATGAGTCATCTTGGTTCTGCTTTCTATGACAGTTGCCATATTATCCAGAAGAGTGACTCATGACATATTCCTGCATTTCCTGCTCTTTCCCAGGCACTGTGCATTTAGATTTCAGATGTAGCTGCAGAGAAAAATTAGTTCTGCATAATGCTTAGTTTTAAAAAACAAACAACAAAAAAAATCCCTACCAGTTTGTGAATCTGACTTGATTCCTGCAACATGCATTCTCCTGGAGTCAGAGACAAGGATTCAGAGGTACTTGATGTTATATGCCACAGAGGATGGCCTTGCCCAGGCACCGTCATGAAACACAGAGCAGAACAGAGGCCACCACGAACCCCCAGAAAAGAAGTGATAGTGATGGCTCCTCCCAGGGCATGGTGACCTTGATTCTTTTTCTGGAAGATATCTATATTATTCACCAGGGAGGTGATGAGTTTGCCACTTCTTTGGGCTCAGTTCCATCAAACGACAAAGCAATGACAGGACTTAGAGATCATTCGTTTTTGCAAATACAGTCAGGCTGTTTGTCCATGACATCCCGGCAATGTAGCAAGTATCTGTGGAATCAATGAAAATAACTACATCCTTAACATTTAACTTGGAGCAAAGGTGGGCTGCTTGGAGACACTTATTCTAAGAGCTTGTGGATGGATGCATATATTACAAAAGGACTAGGAGATGTCTACATTGAATGTTTTGTTCTGAGCAATATTAGCATCATTCTTCATTTAAAAGGGATGTTTGTTACTTAAGGGCCCTGTGATCAGGGGGTGAGCATTACACCTTTTATTTAACACATAGGATGCTTATCAAGTATGCATCTGACACAAAAGCAGAACAAGCATCCTAATATTTAAGATACCCAGACTTGAATCCTGACATTTCAGAAGAAAAGGTCAGCTTTTGCACTTTTATCTCTCTTATTTGGTAATAACCTTGAGTCGAGCCCTCTAACTCTTGCAGAACAGAGATACCCTCGGGCACTTTCAGGTCAAAGATGACTTTGAAAAGTGCAGAGCGTTCAAAGTTAGAGTCGAGGTTAAGTGTGTGTAAAGCAGTGAGACCCAGCTTGAATGATGCGCAGCCAGAGGAATTATATTCTCTTTGCCATGTCAGGTTAGGAAATGTCTTGCTCTTCAGTCTATCTTTCCTCATCAAGTGTCATTGTGACGTTGACTTTGAATTTTTTCCCCTTAATAACCACCGTGGTGCTCTTTCACAGAGTGTCATTCATTGCAGAACACCCCAATCCTCACCCTTACAGGTGGTCTTCTCGCCCTAGTTTTCTTGATTATCTTGAAAATTACCAGAGGCTACAATGCAAAGTCAGAGAGGTATTCAAAATATTCATAGCTAGATATCACAGAGAAGGGATTCTAGCTTGCGCTAATACCTGAACCTCTCTATTCTTAGAAGGGTGGGTTGATGGCATGGAGTTTGTACTAAAAGTTTATACCAAAAGTTTATGCTACCTGTGATCAAATCTTGATCAAAATTTACTGATTTCAGAGCCATTTTCTTTTTTAAAGTCAAAATCTTCAAGTAACTGAGAAGATACCAATTTGACGAGACGGTAGATACACTTAGTATCCGTCAGTTAAGAAAGTGCAGCATACATTTAGTAGGACTAAAATTAATTTTGTTCATCACAAACAGCATCGGTGTTTATTTAAAAAGTATGCAAGATTTTTTTTGTAGGTTTTGTTCATAAAAATTATCAGGCACATACAGATTCATGGACCCCTTGCAATAATTCTGAGGCCTCTGTGGTTTGCAACCACTGTTCTAAATAAGTGAAATTCAAACACTAAAAATCTGTTTCTCCTGGCCAAACGTTGGTGGTTGCAAAGCCGTTCTTGTTATGTGATACATTTAGTAGCATGACTTACATTGAAAGGCATCTGTAAATATCCTGATTGGCTCTCCACATTGGAGTTTAAGGAATTTAGCATGGTTTTCCCTTTCAGGTCATACTTACTGTAGAAAACTACATTTTAATCCCAATTAGGTATTTCTCAAATCATTTGGACATGAGACATCTTCTCTCCTTTTCGTGCTATATTCTTTGTCCCCTCACTTTAGCAGGGGTTACAATAAGGACAATTACAAAGAAAAACACTCATAGAGATCCGTGTGCATTTTTTCCTTTGTCTCTAGTTAAATATGGGCATGGGAATATCAAAGTCAAATGCAAAACAAGACAAAAAAGCAATCTTGTTTTTCAAACTGCCTAAAACTTGGCAGTGTTCATGACAATTTGTGTAACTATTAGTAATTCGACCATAACGTTGCAACTGTCTACTGGTTATCATAGGTGTCTCGCATTTTATTTCTAATCTGTGGCTTCAGCACCTCTTCATTGGGATTGGTGTCTTTTTAAAACACCACTTGAAGTGGGGGTGAATGGATCTAGTATATATCAAGAGCATTGATTCGAGATGTTTCACTGGAAGGGATGTTGATTCAGGCCTTGGCTTCTTTCTTCTTGAGCTCTGTCTTCATGTTAGGAATCCTGCCTGAGTGTGAATTTCCATTACATTTGAATTCTTGATGATCCCATGAAAGGAATATATGGATTTCCACCAAATTAATTGCAATGTATTGCTCCTGAATAGAATGTTTAATTTAACCTAATATTTAATATTTAAACCTTTCTGGGTTTTTGGTGAGAGAAGTGGGTTATAATACATCCAGACCTCTGATACAACACATGCCATTATAGAATTTTTTCAAGAATAGTTGTCTCACATTTGCGCAATACCCTTGTTGATGTCATAGCCTTGCTTTTGTTATCAAAATACAGACACTCTGGGCAGGACAATGATCTACTCAGGTCTCTTTATTGGCTATAAAAACATATCATGTGACTTTCAGCAAATGCAAAAGAAGATTCCATGATCACTTTTTAGTAATAAAATAGAGGTGGGCTTGTGTGTAGCTTCAATGTGAATGCAAAATTGTTGTTTTGGGTAATGAAGCCATTTGGGGGGGACCTAGCATGGTGCCTCCTACTTCTGCATTCCAAACACGAAGCCAACAGTGAGAAAAGCTGGAATGCTGCCGTTTCTCAGCCTCTATACACACTCTTTGATCTAACCTTTACTTTCATGTTTTATGATGTATCCGTTGAATATCCTTCACAGATTTTCAGAGAAATATTATTTGATCCGAGAATGTCTAAAAATGCTTGGTACATATTTGCCCAAGTGCGTGCTTATGCGCTTCTGGATTTTGTTCTTGATACAGCTATCGAGACACCTTGTGTAGAGCTGAGGTGCCGTTGAACGCTGTTGAAGTTGCTGTTGAGCTATAACAAATGCTAGTTATGTTTGCGAATGAGTCGTGTCTATTTAAATTGAAAAAGTGCCAGCTGTGTTTACATCATTAGCACCAAACTTCCCAATTAAACTGTTGATACTATAAATATAGTACTCAACTGTCTTAGGAATGGGACTTACATCAGCATTCTTCTTAGGGCTTGTTTCACTGGCTTGGAGAACCATCACCCTAACGTCAACTGCCAAAGAAGCAAACATTTGAGACCATTTCAGGGCATATGGTGTCATTGTTTCATTTAGGGAATGACACATTCTAAGATTGCTTTTTGATTGGTTCTGTCTCAACCAGATCTTATTTTAAAGGAAGTGTTTTTGTGTTGACTGCTTAGAGAAAGTTCGGTAGATGACATTTGCTTCATGATTTTAGAAGAAATCCTTTTCAAGCTTCTCTTTCCATAAATATATGTACTTATAGGCTCTTAAGGCTGAAATAAATATAATAGCATTTCTGTAGACTGACTATTCTAAGGTGGCTGTATTAAAATTACTGCTTCACAAAGCTAGAAAAATCTTTACTATAAAATTCAGTTCACTTTTAAACGGCGAAAACTTTATTTTCCAAATCTGAAAATTTTCTTCTTCTATTTTTAATGATTTTTCTTTGACCAAAACTAGGGTAATGAAAATGTCCTATGAAAGAATATTCTCTTCACCAAAAGAATATTTGAGTGCCCACAAATTGCAGGGTGAGTTAGCTGCACATCTTTTGGTATTTCCATTGTACCTACTAGCAATATATCGCTTCCATCTCCTCTCCTGGTTGAGCCTTCTCTTCTTGGTTTCCTCCTATCCTTCTACTTCTCTGTGAAATGGAGAAGTCTTTCTGTCCAACAAGAAAAATGTAAGTCTGTGATCCTCTTGCTGGGTAAGGTACATATCCTGAGGAATGAGCAGATTTCTACAGTGTGGAATGACAAGCTTTGGGTTACTTTATCCCATAGTCAGAAGTGTTTTTATCTCAAGGTTTTGAGCTATTTATTTTCAACTGACTTATGCATAAATTTTTCTGTCTTTCCAAGGAAGGTAGATTTCTCTGTATGTTCCAGAGGACAGGCTCTGTATGTTCTAAATTTTTTTTTTTTTAGTAAAACTCTCTTGACATTCATTCTCCTGCTCTCCCGATACTCTATGACTGAAGTACTGTGATCAGGCGAGCTGCCCCAGCTTCTCTGTGTTCTAATTGTTTTCTTTCTATCCTGCCCTCCCCACCCCCAATCACTTTGTCCTCTGCTACATAGAGGCATGCTTAATTTTTCCCCCCAGGAAAGAAAAAGAAAATGTAGAATCTCCTAGGGTGATAACAAAGGATGCAATTAAAATCCAGAATGAAAAAGCAAATGGAACAGGACAGCTGAAAATAAAGGAAAGAGAAGATGTAAAGATTTATTTATGATGTTCTGTTTATTTTTTTAATCACCAAATTGGGCATTTGCTCTCATTTTGCAGTAAGGTAAAATTTTCATCTTATTCTTCCCTGGGCCACATTTTACATGATTTTACCTCATTCCCTCCTGCCTGCCCTTACATAGTACAGACCATACTCAAAAAATGCCCACACTACTTTATGTGATCTAAGAAAACCAAAAGGATTCCAAAGTCAGGGAAAAGGATTTTAGAATATGAGATGCTTCTAGTCCACCATCTAGTTCTAGATGCTTCAGAGCCCACGTTCTTTTCTATAAAGCGTGAATCAAGAATTACTAGATGTGTATTTCTCATTAGATCTGCCAGATTAAAAAAAAAAAAGACACAATGGTTGAATTTGAATTTCAGATGAACTACAAATATTTTATTAAGTACGTTCCAAGTATGGTGTGGGATACACTTATCCTGAAAAATCTGCAATTTAAATTTGACTGGGCATCTATATTTCATTTGGTTACTCAATTTACTAGTAATCTGAAACTGTTTCTGGACTTTTTACAAAACTTATTCATGCTAATTGTTTAAAACCTATTTGTTTAGTAATATAGAGAATCATCTTGAGAGAAGTACATTTCAACCTGAGGACTGATCACGATTATGCTGATATCTTGATTATGATGGGTGCCTGGGTAGTGGAGCTTGCTTTTATGTTTGTGGTTTATTTATCTCTTACAGTCTGGCTGCTCCTGGCTTGTATGGGAGCTAGGGGCCAAAACCCTCAACATCGTATTCTAGTTGGACATGTTATTATCACATCTCACCTTATCAAGGATGTTTCTCCCAGTGGCTAGTGCAATAGCACAAGAGGTTCATTGTATATACTAGCCATTTTTAATCTTTGCTTATCAGTGCCTGGGAAAGCAATCATGCTCATATAAAGAAAGGAAAATAGAATTAATTTCTTGATTAATAGTTTGTACCAGGCCCTGATAGTCCATCTCACCTGATGGGATATGCTACAATAAGGAGATAATATGCATGGTTATATTTTCTCTTGTTTGAAACACATCATTTAATAGTAGAACAACATAAACGTATATCCTTAAGATTAAAAGAGAAAAAAAATTCTTATTTGGGAACAAATTACAAGTGTATATAATATGATTTATTCCACTTCTTGCTTATAAAATATTTCCATTTCTTTGCAGCAATTTGGTAAAATCTTAGATGTTGAAATTATTTTTAATGAGCGAGGCTCAAAGGTAAGCAACTTAATTCACTTTAGAATTGTTTAGCTTATTTTAAAATGTTTGTTGTGAATCAGGGGAAACAACTGCACTGTTTTAATCAGTATATTGTGAAAATGTACTTCAGTGGGAATCCCTTTAGAGATCACCTCCAGTTTCCAAAATGGTGGGAAATGTATTGAGTTCAGTTTAAAATGTATAAGGGGGTAATTTTAAATTGCTGTTATATCTATATAGATATAGATATAGATAGATAGATCAAGTTTCCAAAGGGAAATTACCAATGCTTAAAAAAATAATGATGTTGCTACATTTTTGTTTTTCAGTGATAATTATGTTCTTTATATTAAAAAGTGAGTTGATAGTCTCATGAGCAGGTAAATATGTGATTATTCTGTATTAATAAAGTGCAGTTATTTTCCTGGGTTGTAAGGGACAAAGTCTCATATACACCAACCTTTTGAATGTACCTTTATTCATTAGTGTGTTTACCAATCCATATTTTGCAATTGGCCATTGCTTTGAGTTTGTTTTTTCTAGGAAACCAATTTATGAATAAATTTTCCTAGACCTAACAAAAGTCAGGGTCTATACGGAAAGGCTCCAACACCTTCGAAATAAAATATGTTGGAAGGAGAAAAAAAAAAAAAACTTTTCCAAAGTATCCTCAATACCAGTAGTTGTCCAAGTATGGTCCCAGACTAGTGGGATCAGCATCTCCTGGGAAAGTACTAGGAATGCAAATTCTCAGGCTTCACCCCAGACCTACGATGTGTGTTTTAACAAACCTTCCAGACCTGTGCTTAAAGTTATAAACAGAGTCTTTCTTTTTCAGACAAATGCCAAACCTTCAACTGAATGCAAAATACCCTCTGCCTATTAGTGTTTTGTAGCTGCTGCTGTTCTCAAAGCGCCCTCTTTCTACCTGTACCCGCAGCAAATTCAAGAGCTCCAGGAAAATCTCCCTGGAGGAAAACAACACATTAGGCATATCAGCAGACCCTGAGTAGGTAACGGAATAATCTTGCACAAGGAGAGGGATATTGGCCTTAGCGACCAGAAGGTGAACACTTCCAATATCTCTACTTTGTTTTCTGACTACCATTCCCCAGGTTGTCAGGGACTTTAAGATTCCTCGTGAAAGTGGATGTGGAGATACAGAAAAATACTGGTTTTGGCCCTATAACTTTCCTTATGCAGACAATTTAGGACACAGTTATCCAGGAGGATTATTCAGCAGTACTGGTTCTATTAAATGTGTCACAGACCATGGTGCCCACTCTCTTGGGTATATGACTGCCTTCTCCCATGAAAGAAACATTTGAATTCACTATTCCTTGGACAGTCTGCCCTTCCTCCCTCCTAAGTGGATTTATTATTAACTGAATAGGACAATAGTGATTAAAATAAAGGAAGAAAATTCCAGCATTTTCTCCTCCATGCCCAAAATGATGATGTGATCTTCCAGATGAGTAAAAAAAATCAATCCATTATACTCTGCAGTTCTGCTCTATCAGGAACCTTGTCGTTCTTCTATGACTTCAGATATTTTACAGCCATTCTTGCAATATGTCAATAGTGTGACCTCAAGGTTGGGGGGGAATAAGTTAACTCTCTTTCTGCTTCCTGTATGAAAATCATTACAGGGACTATTTCTATACCTGCAAAGCAAAGTGCATTAAGAGAAAATGTGCCCAGCCCAATCTCATTCACTCAGGCCTGATGAATTCTTGGCAAAATTGTACAGTTGACCGAGAACATGGAACATTGGCCAACTCTTCTAACCCTGAGTCTGTCTATAACACCACTGCCTTTAGAGGTTTTTTGCTTGTTTTTAAAGTTTACATTGAATTTATATTTTGTTCTGCAACATTTGCCAGTTGAAAAAGCTATTTAATTCCTTCTGAGAGCTGCTTTGGGACATTAGAAGAATATCATTTGCTATTTTGAAAGTACAATGGCGGTGCTATTTTTAAGATTTCTTCCGTCATTCCCATGATTAGTCTATCTCTGGGGGCTTCAGAAAAAAGACCATTTAAGTTTGCCACATCCAGAGGCTGTCTTTGTTAAGCTAGCTCCTTTTTTTCCTTTTTTTCGCCCTTATTTTTTGGACTAGAAAACATCCAAAATAGCCTCTCTCAGTGGGTACACTCCCTCTGAAAGAACTTGTCTTGCAGGTGTTGGAGCTGACTGTTTAGGGACCACTGGAACATCACTGAGATGGTCCAGTTGGGAACTGCTAAATGGGGGCAGCGGCTCACATGGGATATTTTTCATACTTGACATTCTCATTTATGGAAAAGGGCCTTATTTAGAAGAGCATTTCCATTTTAACAGTTGAGAAACCTAAAGCAGTGTTATGACCTCATTTACATCATTTGGTGCTAGACAGACAGCCAGGAAATGGGTGGGCACTTAAGAGCTGTGAACTCACCTGCTGGCCACTAATTCCCATGGCAGTCCCTGACACAGGACGACACTCAATGCTCTGTGTGTGTGTGTGTGTGTGTGTGTGTGCGCGCGCGCACGCATGCTCATAATTACGCATGCACATATACACCTATATTTACAAAGGCAGTATCTATATTATTCTGAGGATGTATATCATAAGTATTTTATGTATATATGGATAGCAAGTATACAGGAAAATCACATTTTAAAAAGATAGGCCAGACTCTGAAAATGAGAATTAGATAGCATTTAGAGGTGTGTAATGCTATAATTCTTTTTTTTTTAGGAGATTTTAAACCATTTTATTTACTCTGAAATGATCTGTTTGGAGGACACAACCAGATACAGCTACTCTCTATGCCTAAGAAATGCACACTTCGGTCTTAGATTCAGTAGATGTCTATAAGTATTGGTTGCATTTCAGGCGAATCAACTGGGAGGGAGACAGAAATGCTTCATGTCCTCATAGGTCTTCTTGAGTACAAGAGGGATAGACCATGAGGATGGATAAAGTGTGCTGTGTTCTGCAGTGGCAGAGGAGGCTGCTGAAAGCAAACAGATTGATATTGCTAGAAAGTGGGAGGGATTCCAGAAAGAAGTGGCATTTAAGCTGAGAGTGAAAGATGAACTTCGAAGTTACCAGGGAGGGGAAGAAGGGATGTCTTACAGGGAGAAGGGGTTGCTTGTGCAAATGTCACTGGAAAGAAGTGTTGATGTGAGGCTCTCAGTCCCTTAGGAAAATGAATCTTCAGACGCTTCTCAACAGTTTCCCTCTTATAAATGTAAGCTCTCTGCACCAGAAACTAGAAGACTTGATTTTTTATGTATATATAATATGAAAAATCAGAGCATTCATCTATTCAGGGTGCTTCAGAGCCTTTACTTAAGATATACAATGGTGTATTTGCATGAATGCAAAAAAAGAAGATATCACTTAAAAATACCAAAGGCCAGAAAAGAAAAATAACTAGGATGCCAGAAGGTCAGAATGTATGATTTACAAAAAGATTTTGAAATCAGCAGGTCATGCTGGTCTGGCGGTCCACTTTCAGGTTACCTTTATCTTGCCTGTTGATCATGGGGTGGCACAGGCCACAGATTTCTTTCCTCCAGTAGCGCCGTGCCTTCTCTCAGCTCCACCCCTCTGTTAAGGGAAACACTGAGAAGATGTGTCTGTCTCCCCCAGTCAGAGGGTATGTGATTCCCCTTTGTGTAGCCCTCCCTGCACTTTTGATTTTTTCATACACATCAGCATTGTGCTGGTTCTAAGCTCTTCATGCCAACCCCAGAATATGCTAAAATACAAATATTTGTAATCTTTTGAAAAACTGCAAGTTGCTGTTTCCTTGAGATAGAGTTCTGACCAGGAGGCAGGTCAAAAGAATCAACCTTAGCCCCTGCTTTCAAAGTTGCCTAGCACCTGTGCTTGATAGGGAGGGCACCCAACAATAGAGAGGCCAGGGAAAGGTCTTTCCGGTTGTGGTGCAGCTCCCCAGATGAGAAGTCTGATAATCTTCTGACCGAGGGAAGCCATATGACCTCTAGTCTCAGGGGTAGAATTGTCCAATGAAACAAGTAGGAAAGTCTGTTTGGAATTCTGAGGACTGTTTCTGGAGCAAGCTCTTCCTGAACCCAACTTTTTGCCAAATCTCAACTAGCCATCTCAGCAGTTGGAAATGAAGAGTATTGAGTAGCAAAATAAAAGAAAAATGTAGCAGAAAGTAAAGATTATAAGAAGAATAATAAAAATAATCAATACATTCTCTTTGCTTAAAAACAAAGTGAGACCTTGAGAATAGATCGGGGCATTTCCTTTTTAATTCATGCACTTCCCTTGAGATTCAAAATATATTTCTGTTTACACCTTCCTCTCCATGTATGTAACACTGATTTCAGGTCTGTAGGTTTGCCTTGGATACAAACATGAAGGATGAAAACAAGATTCTTTAGGATAACTGTCGGGCAGGTAGGTTGAGTGTTCAGTCTCACCCAGTTATGTTTGTGCCATCACTGTGGTAATCTGACTGCTAGTCCCCATAAACAGAAGTGATGCTGCTTCACCCTAAATCTTTAAGATGGAAGCTATGGATTTTCTATTCTTGCCTCAAGAGAGAATGTAAATCCAGAGACCTAGTTTCCTTTATTACCTCTTATATTAGTTTGTTTCTGTTGCTTATAACAAAACACCTGAAACTTGGTAATCTATAAAGAAATGAAATTTATTTCTTACAGTTTCAGAGGCTGGGAAATCCAAAGTCCAGGGTCTTTTTGTTGGTGGTGACTCTCTACAGCAACACAGAGTATCACATGGTGAATGAACTAAGCGTGAGAGAGCTAACCTGTTCACTTGCTTTCCTTATACATCCATCAGAACCATGCCCATGACCACTCATTAAACCATCAATGGATTAATCCATTCAGAAGGATACAGTCCTCACAATCTAATTGCCTATTAAAGGCCCACCTTTTGATTACCACAATAGGATTACCACCTTCTCAATACCGTTACAATGTAGATTAAGTTTCCAATACATGAAGCTTTGGGAGACACATTTAACCTACAGCACCTCTTAAATGTAAGGCATGGATATTGATTCTAGGGAGTTAGGCTTACAGGGAAAGAAGAGAACATTGCTAAGAAATCTCAGGCATGTGATTTTGGCTGTGCCCTTACATCAAATCTCCAAATGACTGAGTTGGATAGACATCATCCTCAAAAACTCACTCTGTTCCATAGGTTGGTTACTCTATACAAACCAGTAATATAAAATTCTACTTATTACAAAGAACCAAAACTTTCTTTTGATAGTGTGTATTGATATGGGAGGTAATGGAAATCCAGATGCTGGGTCACACAGGTAATGTTTTAGGCAAACACGTTTCTGGGCTCCACTCTGGGATTCTGATCCAGTAGATACAGAACAGGGCCCTGGAATCTGAATATATCATGTGCTCCCCAGTTCCTCTTGCTGAGCAATTAAGTTTGGGACCCAAAGGCCAAGAAATATACATTAGTCAGTTTCTGTTGCTCACAACAGAATACCTTAAACTGGGTAAATTATATAAAGGAATGAAATTTTTTTCTTACAGTTCTGGAGGCTGGGAAGCCCAAAGATACCATATCTGGTGACCACGGCCTTGGTGGTGGTGGCTCTACAATGATGTAGGGTATCACATGCAAAATGACTGAATGTGCAAGAGAGAAAACTCCTCACTTACTCTCCTTATAAAACCATCAAAACCACACCCATTACTCCATGAGTGAGTGGATCAATCCATTCACAAGGGTATAGTCCTCACAATTTAATCACCTCTTAAAGGCTCTACCTATCAATCAGCATAATAGGATTTCCCACTCTCTTAACTCTGTCACAGCGGGGATTAAGTTTCTAATATATAAAACTTTGGAGGACACATTCAGCCCAAATCAGGATAGAACCATCAATTAGAGCAAAATCTCCAAGTATTTTCTTTTTGCCTTTGAAGAGCAATTATTTCAAAACTATTCAGTTAGCAAGTATATTTGAGTACCCAATAAGGTCATATGGTGTATGTAAGACTGTATTAGTCCATTTTCGTGTTTCTGTGACAGAATACCTGAAACTGGCTAATTTTGTAAAGAACAGAGGTTTATTTGGCTTATGACTCTGGGACAGCTGCATCTAGCACGGGCCTCAGGCTGCTTCTACTCATGGCAGAAAGTGGCAGGCAGCTGGCGGGTACAAGCAGATCACATGGCAAGAGGAAGCAAGAGAGAGCAAAGGAGGTGCCAGGGTCCTATAAACAACCAGCTCTCAAGGGAACTAATAAAGCCTAGAGAACTCACTCACTACCCTCACCCCCCAGGGAGAGCATTAATCCATTCGTGAGGGATCCGCCCCCATGACTCAAACAGTTTCCAACACCACCACATTGGAGATCAGATTTCCACATGAGTTTTGGGGGGACAACACATCCAAACTCTATCAAAGACTAAGCAGGACACTTCTGTTATGGAGCATGTAACCTTATATTAATCAAATAATTCAGGCTTATCCATGTCACAGATCTTCACTATGGGAATGATTATGAAAGGTAATTCAGTCCAATCCTCCCAAGAAAGAAACTTAATATTTCTCTTTCTATAGAATCCTGACAAATAATCATCTATCCTTGCTTAAATACATTCATATAAAGTTCTCTGTCAGCCATCCTCTTGGGCAACATCTTGTAAATATCCTTAGATTTGGAAGTCACCAAAGGGACCCCATGTGGGATTGGGAGTTAACACCAGTTGATTATGACTACCACTTATTTGCAATTACTGTGTATTTTATTAATAAAACTGAATGTTATAGTGACCCAACAAAGCTTAAAACTAACATTTACCTTTATGTAAGGTTTTGCCCAACATAAAAAGAAGTCCCAACGTACTGCATTATTTCACCCAGTTTGTACAGTGAAAAACAGAAAGAGCTGGACAAATTTACACTGAAATTGTTTAAAAGGTTGGTGTATATTTCCAGACAACATGTAAAAATATTTTTAGGGGTTTTAAAAATAATGTGTTGTATTTTCTGTACTCTTCTTAAGCAGTGTCAGTGAAGACAAAAGGTGGATTTAGACAATATAAAATTTAGTGGGATTGTTTATTGAGGCTGAAATAAAAAGCAAAATGTACCCATGATGAAGTAAAGGGTATATTTGTTATCCATCAGTAAAGGAGAAAGTGCTCAGAGTGTTATTACAAATTACATTCTGTTAACAAGGCTTCTTTATTTTGCTATCTGTTGATATGGCAAGTGAATAGAAGCACAATGTCTTAGAACTTTACAATATATATATACACATTTCCCTTTTTGCTTAATAAAGTAGTTTGGAAAGTTGTCAAATTCAAAAGCATGTGTATTATTTGGGGGATGGAGAAAGTATTAATGGAGAAACATTACTTGAATTGTTTGCATTGTTAATCAATTGAAGTTTATTTCTATTCATTTCATGTGATTTTTTGTTTGTTTAGTAGATAAAAGAATTTAAAGATTTATTATAAAAAAAGGTCTTTCCTTTTTTGGGGCTTTTTGTTTTTGTTTTTGAGAAGTAAAGGCTGTAGAATTGACAAGTTCGAATAACCCTAAAATTGCATGAAGAAGAGATGTTCTTAAACCACACGGCATGACTCTGTAGGCAATGTTAGAGGATTTTGGCATTCATTGTTGAAATTCCGTGCACAACTTTTGTTTTATTTATTTTTAATCTGCATGCGAAAGAAAAGTGGTTCCCTTTTTTTCCCGTTATTTCATTTTATTCTCTGTGAAGACACTGTACATTTATTTTGAACTCATGTTCTTTTCTTTAGATTTATTTTCTTCCGTAGTGACATTTAGAAAGGTATTTTTGGTATCAGTCTTTGAATTCTTCAGGGGTTACAGCTAACGGGTGACAGAAAAAAAAAGATCTTGTTCACATTTGTCGCTTAATTATTGCACATTTTAGTACTCTTATAATTTCTCTAATTTGCATGTTACAGAACTGAAGCCAGGACAAGAAGTAGAGATTAAAGCGAGAGAACGTTACAAAGTGGTCGTTGACTGAAATAATAATCTGCATGTTGTTTTCCCTTCTCCCTCCTGCATGCAGGGATTTGGTTTCGTAACTTTCGAAAATAGTGCCGATGCCGACAGGGCGAGGGAGAAATTACACGGCACCGTGGTAGAGGGCCGTAAAATCGAGGTGCATGTCCAAAATATTTTCCTTTTCATCTTTTTTATAAATGTCTGCTTCACGCTCATTCGTTGTTCCAGATGCATTATTGGCGTCTTGTATGTGATCCTACTCCCTTCTCATTGTTTATATATATCTATATATATATATTTATATATAAAAAGGAAAACTGGCCTTACTTTTTTTTTCTAACTTTATTTTATTATGTTACTGTTATTACTGCTGAAAGGTGGATGGCAAAAGTGAGACAAAAGAAAGGTTAATCGGAAAGTTTCTTTCTTTTTATTATTTTCCATGTTTTATAATCAACGGGTGCAGTAGTTTCCAAAGAGTAGACAGTGTTACAAACCAAACAAGATACAGAACAGTTTCTTTTTCTTTTCCTTTCCACTTCAGGGTTGAAGAGGGATCCACAGTGGTTTGCAAATTGAACTAAATGGTGAAGAAATAGCATTAGAGAGACTTGTCTTTAAAAAAAAAATGAGGTCTTTGTCTTTAAACATTTTATTCTTTTTTTTTTTTTTTAAGAAAAAAGCCATTTTGAATTTTTGTGTTCTTTTGATAATAAAGTGAATAACTGAACAGGAGTTCCTGATGAATATCTGGCCCCTGTTCATTGGAAACATAAAAATACCAAATTTCTGATACTCGAGTCTGCTATTTGTACCACTGGGATCTCCCTCAACATAGCCACAGGGTCATATTTGTTTTTAAAAAAATTTTTTAAGTACCAGTTAAAAATGCTTTAGTCTTTGGAGTAAGATGTTGCATATTTTACCTTTCATTTTCCCCCTTCGACGATAACGCTTAGGCCCCTCACCAAACTCTCAGTAACCATGGTAACTGTATACAAACCCATGCTGGCGATGGCGGTGAATGGTAAGTGGTGAAGTCCATCTGCCGTTTCACGTATTTAGTGCTGATATATCTATATACCTATATATATACCACGTGAATTTTTTTGACTTGTTGTATTAAGTTTTCTTGATGCTCTATTTTTTTGGATATTGGTACGCCTGTAATTGAGTGTACGTTCTAAGCTAGCCTGGGAGGCACTGACTGGATTGAGTTATGACCGGTGCACATCTTACTCAGATTGTTAACTCCATATTGTGTTAAACAATGCACCCTCTCTTTTATCCTTCTGTTAGCTGTGACTTTAAAGCTTGAATGATTCTGTTAATTCTTGCGATGTAAAAGGCTCTTGTTCCAAGTGTTGAATGCTAGATGTTGCTTTCCTGATGATTCTTCCCTCCTAAAGTATTGCACACGGCTAAACCTGTTTGTCCCTTTTTTTTTCTTTTTTTACATTTACGTTCCCTTGTACCTTGTCTTTTCCCTCTTCTACTCCACTGCATGTTCCTTCATATGAACTTTATTTTATGTTTTAAAAAAATATTTATTGTTTCTGTGTTACCATGGAGTACACGCATGCTTTTAAATCTTCAATTATGCAGTATCTTTTAATTTGCTTTTACTGTCTCTTTATTAAACTTTTAAATGATATGACATTGCTTTATTGAAATGATTTGTAAGTTAAAATGGTTATGAAGTAAATGTAATTATAAAAAAATGTATGATTTTGTTATGCACCTACTGCCTTTTATAAATTAAAATGCATTTTAGTTTTTAGTTGTTTTTTTTTAATAAGTAATTATAGTCATAATGCATGCAACTAATTGAAATGTGGGCTAGCCCTGGAATATGTGCTCATTTGTGTTTTCTATGTACATAGGTAAATAATGCCACAGCACGTGTAATGACAAATAAAAAGACTGTCAACCCTTATACAAATGGTAAGTAGTGGTTTTTTTATGAGAAATCCTCTCTACCCCTGAATCTATTAAGTAATTTAAGTGGGGAATCTGTTTCAACAAGGTATGTTTGCCTCAGCACAGCCACTGTGTCCTTGCTGTTGGCCTGCTATAGTGAACCACCTAAATCAATGGGTAATTTTCACAACAAAGGCAAATTTAGTTTTCAGGTAAAGTCTGCATGTCTATCATCCCACCTAGTAAAACTATTTGGGATTGAGCTGCAGTAGTTTTCTGGGGACTTACTGGATAATTTAATTTGTTATCACAATAAGTTGAGAGGAGGATGGAGACTTTGTTCGTTGATTTGGTTTTTTTACCACTATCTCCTGGTTGATCACTAATCGTTCTTGGAAGTATGACCACATAATTGGGTTGCCCAGTGCCATTTCAGGCCAGGTAAGGATGTTGCTGTGTATTGCAGACCCCTTCAGGACAATGCTTTTCTGCCCTTACTAATCAAAAAGACTTTTCAAACCTTCCCATAAAAAAAAAATTTCACATATATGAGGGCACTTCAGATAGTTCATGTAAAGGTTCATGTTGTCTTTCAATGCTGTTTTTCCACAAACTTTCTGAAGTACCCTTATATATGAGGAGTTATTAAAAATGTTCAAACATTTTGATTTTTAAATTTTTCTCAAGATAAATATCTCTTCAGATATATAGGGGGAAAATCTACTGCTATGCTAAGCACATGCTTAATTGTACCAAAAGTTAAAAAGAAAGGAATGCAGTAAATTAAAGTATATTCACTTAGTAGAATATTAAACCCATTAAAATGAGAGAGATGAAGACTATGAAGGGCCCCAAAATGAACTTAAAAATTTTTAGATTATAAAAAAATACGTGTATAGCATGATTTCAACTAAGTGGTGGTAGTAATTATACCAAAATGCTAATGATTGAGTTGAATTGCAAGACTAGAAGATATTTTTTCTTTGATTTCTAGGTTTTCAAAAATAATATTTTATTACTATCAAAAGGAAAAATACATGGAAAAATATATAAAGTTTTAATTACACATGAAATGTGGAAATAAAGACTTATTTTAAAAAGAATTTTAAAAAGCATTATATACAAAGCTAAAATATATTTTGAATAACACCACTGCCAACTTGATTTCTAACTTCCCCTGAGAGGAAGCCTCTGTTAATGATTATTTTCTATAGTTTTATTTTGCAAGAATGAAATTCTGCCATTTGGAGCAATTTGGATGAACTTAGATAAAATTATGTTAAGTGAAAAAAGCCAGGCAGAGAAAGAGAAATGTCCTCACTCATAAGTGGGAGGTAAAAAAAAGTAAGAAAGATAGATGATCACAGTAATATTTTGAACTTTCAAAAAGAGAGAACAGAACTGAGGTTAGCAGAGGTGGGAAGGGGGGTAGGGGAAGGAGGGAGAAAGAAATTGGTAAAGGTCCACAAAAATGATTACATTATGTAATGCTGAATGTACTAATTATCCTGATTTGAGCAACGTATATTGCACACAAGTATTGATATTCAGACACTACCCCACAGATACATAGAATCATTTCAATAAAAATTATTTAATTAATTAAAATATAGTTTTATTTTGCATTTTCATGAATATATGTGTAGTAGTGTATATTTATCATATTCAGGCTATTATGTACATGTTTCTTATATAAATGGTACCTTGATGTACATGTCATTTTTAATCGGCTTTTATAAATCAGTATGGAGTTATTTCAATGTTAATATATACATATCAAACAAATTCTTTTTAATGGTTGCATAATATTCTATAAAATGGATATATGGGTTTATTAAGAACCTCAATACTGGTTGATACTTTTTGTTTTATTGTTATAAACAATAGTATTAGCACTGGATAGCTTTGTTTTATTCTCTCCCTTCTGCTAATGGCTACCAATTTGACAAAGTCAGTTATTCTTAATTTAAAAAGGGGCACCATTAAACAGGGGTATAAACTCAATATAATAGGGCTGCAAGTTGAAAGACTACAATAATTATTTATTCTGCCAACTGTTTTCCCCAGCTCCAACAGCCCAAGACATACCCTAAAACAGTATAGACAATTTGCCCAACAGACTTTGAATGCCCAGTGCTGAAATGAAGCAAACCTCTGATTTATGTGTCATGAAGCTTTTCTACTTGGGTAGAAATAATAGCTCTGCAACTTTCCACAGTTAATACATGATGACATCGATCTGTCTATTGGACATTTTCTTTAATTATGAAGTAGCAATTGTGTGTGTGTGTTTGTGTACACACATGACAGGCCTAAGTGAGCTTCTGTGAACATACATAGGTGCTCATGTGTGCTGTCTGAGTGTGTAAATGAAGCAAGAAAATCCAAGAATATCTCAAACTATATGTATGCATATTTATTTTTTTTTAAAAAAAGAGTTATTGGGCTGGCCGGTTAACTCACTTGGTTAGAGCATGGTGCTGATAACACTGAGGTTGAGGGTTTGGATCCCCATACCAGCCAGCCACCAAAAATAAATAAATAAATAATTGGAAAATAAATTTAAAAAATAAAGAATTATTGATCTATGCCATACCCAGGGATTAAAAAACAGACCTGTAGGATTTTTAGACACAATTGGAAGCCCATTTGTAAATAGCCAGCATTTCTAGAACACTGACTGTACATGCATATGTGAAGCATTTTAAATGCACTGGACCCCAACGAAGTCCTGCAGAAAGGACATCATCATCCCTATTTTAAAGATGCTAAACAGAGCCTAGATGAGATGAAGTAATTAATGAAGACCTTTTTAAATTACGAAGTGACAGAAGCTTGTGGCCACACGTGTGTGTGTGTATCAGGCATTCCTTCCCCTGTCATCTTACAGAAATGTATTCAAATGGTAACTGTCTGTAATAACAAAAAAATATATTAAATGTGCAGCTTCATGCTCCTGCCACATGTTGGCAAAAACACCCCACGTCCCATTCCTGGTGGCCATGCATTCTTTGTTTGTGGGAATAAGTAGTGTTGGTTTCTCATCCATGTACCTGAAAAGGGACACTGAGTATTATTCCTGTCACACATAATGAGATGGCAGCTAAGGGACAGATGGACAGTCACAGTAGAACTGATTTAAAAAATAAATATGTATCCTAGTTATATAGGCAGTGGCTTCTACTGAGGAAATGAAGAATACCTTTGGTATTCAAAGAAAATTTGTTTTCAAAGCTTTTCCAAGTTGTAACTCATGAGTATCACCCCTACAGATAAAATTTCCCATTAATTGCAATGCAATATAACTGAACAAATGTGGGGCCGTTTCAAATCCTTAACAAGAGGATATGACTATGGTAAAAGAGGGTAAGTCAGGACCCAGAAAGTCATGTTGCAATGAGAAAATTAAGCAATTGGTGAGGTTCGCTCATTAACTAGGTAATTCATTCACATAAACCATAGAAATTATGCTTTAGCAAAATTATGCATTACTAAAGTCATCAAATTTTGAGATTGTATCTTCAAATGGTTAAATATAGCTATTAGTGCCAGCATCATATTCATGCATTGCTTTGATTAGGTGTCCAACAAAAGTTTTAACATCTGCAAGTTTCCAGTGATGAATTTAACATGGCCCTAAATGCAGTGAGATACTTGTCTAAGAGATTGTACTCTAGAGACCACACAGTTAATAACATCATGGAGGATGTGGATTCCATTTCCAGGACCTTTAAACATCGACACAGGATAAGAAGATACTATAGAATACAATATAGGCTTCTGGACATTCTACCCATCAGAAAGCTCCACAAAGAAGGAATCGGGCTATTTCTCTATTGCTGTTTCTCCCAAGGACACCCACCTGCACTGAGAAGTTGGGGTTTACTCTCTTCTTTGGAGATCAAATATTGGATCTGCAAACCAAGTTGAGAGTTGGTTTGAAAGGGATTTCCTGGGTGTTGGGGAAGCATGGGTGTTAGACGTGCCTCTTTTGTTTTATTGGAGATCTTAGGAAAGATGAAAAGAGAACACAAATATCCACGACTACACAGAGAGGCAGACCGTGTTCCCAGTATCAGCTCTGTCATTCACTGGCCATTGAGCTGTATGCACATTGTTTAAACTCACCACACTCCAGCTTTCCTCAAGTGAAAACTGTACGTATAATGGGATCTACATCATAAGAATTTGTGATAATAATGGGAGACAAAGTACTCAACACAATAGTCTGTATACAAAATGTCCTAACTTTTTTCTTCCATTTGTAGCACAGTATTATGTAATTGCACAGTAATCTCAACATTAAGTGATCACCCTGTTCCTTTTTTGCTATAGATAGTAAGTTGAATTTCCTGATAGACACTAGTTTAAAAATCAAATATTCTGATGCTAACAAAGGCTGAGCAGATAATATAAATAAGCAAACAGAGGATTTGAGAAAGTTGGTCCTTTTAGGACTGTCTTTGGTTTTCTTACTGGGTAAAGCAACATATCTCTCTACAGAAGAAAAAACAGCATAGGGTAACAATAATAGATTGCAGGTGTCTGACCTTCAAACCAGGCACCACAGGGAGCGGTGGTGACTGTGACTAATTTGGGAGTTCATGCGATAGCACCTGGTCACCTCTAGTAAATCTGTCATTTGCCTGAAATCTAAATGTTGGCAATGAATGCATGTGGCTAGAAAACATACTAAAGGAGTGGGCTGGCTGGTTATCTCGGTGGTTAGAATGTGGTGCTGATAATATCAAGGTCCAGGGCTCAATCCCTATACCAGCCAGCCACCAAAAAAAGCCCAAAACAAAACAAAATAAAATACTGAATGAACCAGAGCAAAACACATCTGCACACAATACACAACTAGCTTCTTTTTGTTTTGGCATTTGGGCATAGCCTCCTGCACCATTTCAGCTATCAGGTCTCTGGCATCCTTAGTGCATGTCTTTAAAAAGCATCTATATGCAGTTTTTGAAACCCCTGCAGTGTATTTAAGGGTCCTCTCCGGAATATGTTTCTTTGATATCCAACTTGGCAAAGCCCTAGAGAAGGCATGTGTTTATTTCCTGTGTGTGCACATTCAGACTTGCCTTTTAACAGCCAATATAGCAGTAGTTAACACTGGGGATCTTGGACAGCGTCTCTGAAGAAGGCTGACATGTGAGCTTTGACAAGCTAAATTTGGGGAGAGGAGTACATCTCCTCAAGGTCCAACCACACTCTGGTCTCTCTAAACTGCTCATGTGTCTGATATAGAGCGAGACCCTCATGTGCCTGGTCTCTGCTCCAATGCCTGGTCGTATGGGGAACCCTGGGAGGCTGGGAGTGGTGGGCTTTATCAGCTGTGCTCCTTTAGTTGTAAGCCTCATTGTTCGGTTTAATGTCCTTGATCAAAATCTCTGAATTTGTAAGGCCTGGGGACGTACACAAACTGCCTAAGAAATTAAAAATTGGATCATTTTGTCCGTCTTCCTGACAGTGCAGGCTCATATCTTCAGCAGGGTTATCCCAAGGGTCTCTTCCAGGTACCAGAAGGAGTCATAGGGACTGTGATCAATTTGCATGTGATTTGCATACATTTACATAAGCCTTGTGAGCTCTGTGTAAGTCTGAGTGGAGGTGATTTTCAAAGGCTGGATTCTTATTGCCTTTCCCTGGAAGACAGTCATCCCTAACAGGATCTTTCTTCATTAGATGGATAGCGTGTATCAGAAAACAGGTCACTGGAGTTGAGAAAGAGACAAAATCCTAGCCAAAGAGAATAAGTTCATTAGGAAAAGCTCTATATTCCTTCATTTTTTTTTAGTAAAACCAAATAAATATTTATGGAACAACTACTATTTGCCAAACACAGTTTTAGGTGTTGGGAATTCATGTTGGACAGCAGTCCTGCCCACTTTACTGTTAATTTTAGTGGAAGAGAATGGTTATAAAAAACAATTAAGAACAAGAGAAGAAAGAAAGAGGATAAATCCAGATAGTGTTAACAACTATGCAGAAAATAAAACTGGGAATTGAACCAAAAAGGAGGCAGGAAAGTAACATTAAGTGGCATGTTCTGGGAAGACATCAGAGACCTAAATAAAATCAACTTTGAGAAGAGCTGGGGAGGGTTCTTCAAGCAGAGGGAGCAGTGGATACAAAAAACCCTTGATCTAGAATGGTCTTTGGTAGTTTTATACTGATGGAAAAGGTCAGTGTCACTGTAGCTTGCAGAGAAGGGGACAGTGCTACAAAATAAAGGACCAGGGTTAGGTTGGGTGGGCTTATACACCAAGGTAAGGAATCTGTGTTTATCCTAAGTTCAGAAGGAAGCTATTAAATTCTGAGTAGCAGAATGATGTACCTGATTTACTTTTTAAAAATCGCTTCAGCCATTATGAACAGAATGGATGGGGAGGGAAGGAGGAAGGAAAAAGGAGTGAGAGGAGAGGGTGAAAGTTGGGTGTTTTCTGTGGGACTTGTCCAGGCTAGAGGTCAGAATCTCTTGCTCTGGGATGGTGACAGTGCAGAAGGAAGGAAGAACTTTTCGAAGTTTAATCAATAGGATTTCCTAATGGATTCCACATGGGGTATGAGAAAAAGAGACATATCAAAAAACTGTTGAGTAAGAATTTTATTTTGAGCAACTGAGTGGCTGGAGATGACATTTGCTGAGGATGGAAGACTTGGTGAGCAACAGGTCTCAGGAGTGGTGGAAGAGCAGAAGCCGGGTGTTCACACCCGTCCTGCGGTTCAGAAAGACCTTTGTTTTTTCTACGGTGGGAATGGGATGGCCTTGTTTAGGAGAAAGGATCAGGGATGGGAAGGAAGGTAATACCTACACTGATGCTCTCATAATGACCTGAGCAGTCTCATTGTATTTTTGTGGCTCAGATTCCCACTTGGTTTCCTGTAGAGGAAACCTTATCAATCATTTCTCTCAATTAATGTTTATAGACATGAGATGGCATGGATCTCCTGATGAAGGAGAGTATCAATTAAATTTCTGTTACTTTTATGTTGGGAGAAAGTTCTTTGTGGGCAGACTTGGAAAACTGATAGATAATTGGTAGATGATGGATAGATGGGTGGATAGATAGGGAGGTAAATAGATAGACAGTAGATAATATATGATAAATGGATAGATGGGTGATAGGTACATATATAGATAAGTAAACAGGCAGTAGATGAAAGATCAGTAGATAGATGATACGTAGATTATAGATAAATAGATCATAAATAAATAAACAGATGGACAAATGATGATAGATAGATAGATGGATAGAGACAGGTAAATAGATATGATGACAGATAGACGGATAGACAGACAGACAGATGGATAGATTTCTTGGTCCATGAAAATGGGGAAGATAAAGGCAGATGAGAGAAACATGATTTCTAGCCAGTCTCAGATGCCTTTGAGAAATCTGTTTCTCTGAGAAAATGAAAGGCCATTGGCACAATTTACGATCTTTGAGAGCTTCATCCCAGTTACTTGACAGGTACACATTCAGAGAATGCTGTGCCGCAGCTTAGTATGCAAAAGGAAGGATTTAAGGGACATAACAAGGATCTGTACAAGAAATAAAAGCTAAGTTGAAGAACGTCAAAGAGACCCCATCTCCACTATCAATAAAAGGATGTAAGACAGGGAACAGAAGGAGGAAGAAAAGGAATAATAATTTAATAAGTATTCATTTAATGTTACTACATATAAATTTAGTTCACAAATTCTAGATTTCTGTGAAGGACTAGAAAGACAGAGAACAATAAACATGTTTGCAGCTTTATTTTCAGCCAGTTTGCTCTATTTTTTCCTAGACACCAAATGTGGTGGACATTAGTCCCCATGTCCTCAGGAATTGGGCATTTTCTTTTTTAGGAAGCAACAAAATTTTGGTTAGTCAAAATGAAATCATTTTCCACATTCCTAAAACATATATTCTAAAGTGTCTAGGGTAATTTTTATTTTTTATATCACTATAGAAATTCCTATTAGGCAAGATATGATTAATACAAGAGAGGGAGGTATGAATTTTCAGAAATCGTTAAGGCAATAGGTCCCAGAATTTTATGTTTCTTTCCATAGGTCTAAAATGGGACCTAGAAATTGCCCGTTAATATACATCCCATGTAATCTAAGTATAACATTTTGAAAAACCTTGTCCTAAGATCATCCTCGGGCTGTATTTTTTCAAGTTGAGGGTAGCCTATTCAAGTTGGAACTGAAAGTTCTTAGGAACAGAACATTCTTAGAAAGTTCTGGAAAGTTCTGTATCTCAGTACATCCAAGGGCTCATCTATTAAGATAATGAGCCTCTGTCTTAGTGAATCTCAGGAACACCTGTCGGCTGCTCTTAGAGGTACATCACTTAGATCAGGAGTCACACCTGTCCCTTCTGGGAAAACCTCAGAAAGATCTCATTGTTGGAAATACCTTCTCTCACATCCAAACTTCTACCATGGCCTTTTCTTGGGAAAACTTATTTAAAAACCTCTGGTATTTGACCCTCTGCCTAAGGACACAAAGACAAGTCTACACACCTGCCTTCCTCTGTCTTTCAAGAATTCTACAATGGATGTTTTCATACAGACTTAACAGCAGGAGCAGGAAACAATCACAAAACCCTAAGATTGTTCTTTGGGGATTGTTACCTAAATAATTCCCAATGAGTCTGTAACGTACTTCCCAATTTGTGAATATTCTTATATGCTCTTTACTTGAGTAAACATTTCTAAATGGCCAGGATTCATTTTACAGAAAGCTCTTCTTCTAGAACATTTGGAAAATTACAGGATTCTCTTAATCTCATATACAGGTTATTTGAAAGTTACCTTAAATATCATGCATTGATTAAGAATTTTTATGGTTCCTAAATGCATTAAAATGCACTCCACACTAAAACTCTATGTGATAAAGTATCATTTTCTTTGGTATTTAAAAAGCACTTTGGAATTCTCTGGTATCCCTTGGTCATAATTAGGAATGAAAATTGTCAGAGTATGTTGCTGTTAAGAATTTTATTTATGCGAGCTTTCAAATTTGTGTGAACTTAATTTGAAGGGACATGCGATGGATTATCTAGCAGATATATGAAATAAAACAAAAGATTGAAATTATTGTAATGGCTCTAGAAAATATTGGTATAGTACAAAACTGATTACAACATCATTTTCGAAAGGTTCACCAGTAGTTTCCATTCCATTAACTTGAATTGGCAGAAAATAAAAGAAAAGCATAAATCCATTTTCTTATGTATAGTTTTCAAATATTTTTTATGCATGCCCAAACCGTATATCCTTTACATTTTAAAATAAAAAAAAAAATTACTTCAACCCATTTGATTTGCAGTTAATTTGCAATGATATAAAGTTGTTGAATCAAATGTGATCATAATGTATTTTATGTTTGTTTTAAGGCTGGAAATTGAACCCAGTTGTGGGTGCAGTCTACAGTCCAGAATTCTATGCAGGTAAAGAGTTTCTCTTTGCACGATGTCTTTTTGGTCTGTTCTAAATGTGCTTTGCCTGCCAATAAAGAATGGGTTTAGTAAAATAATCTGAACCAAGTGAATCCCTACCCTAACAAGTTCTGAATGATTTCTTTGGGCAAAACCAAGAGTGTTTAAAACCCTTTAAAAACAAAAGGGAAATCATGTAAGTCACATGGTGGGGTAGACATGGAGCCTACCCTATGACGTTTCACATTGATTTTGCCTTAAAAAAGCATTGAGGCTTTGTTCAATAGCATATTGAACAAATAGAGAGCTGTTCACACTCATTTTCTTTCAATGTGCCTGAATGTGTCTTTACATTTCCATCTGGGGTTGCATTTTCTTTTTACTGGCAAAGTAGAGAGTTGGATTAATTATTCCAATAATGTGGCAGTGATTTAGAATTGCCAAGAGAAGGCCTATTTAGAAAACTAGAAAAAATTCCACTTTCTTTCCCCAGTTGTCAATTTCCTTTAGCAATTCCATTTCTCTCTACTTTGCCTTCAAGGATATGTCTCTCTCCTCACCCTTTCCCAGCCTAAGCACCAACTACCCTTTAATTGGGAAATCTACTCCCTTAGAAAACTTGGCTACTAAATTTTGGGAGAGTTTAACCCAGTAGCACAGTGACTGAGATTTCATGTCTCCCTGTGCTCAGCTTGGCCTGTCACTGCTGCCTGTTGCTTCTTGAGCAAGGCTGCATTGAACATATAGAACCTTAGTAGTAAATTTTCCACATGGATATTGAAAAGAAGTCTTCCTTTGATGTGGCTCTTGCTTTTTAATAAGAAGAAATAAATAACCAGTTGATCTAGAGCCACATTTTCAAGTGGTGATCTCTTGATGGTAAGTTGTGTCCCTTACTTTATTTCTTCCTGGGGTGCCTACCTTCCTTCATTTTCCTGACTCTAAGCATCGACCCTAGTGTATGAGAGAGGAACATAGAAAACATAGCTACTCTAGCACCAGTCTGATAAAAATTAAAAAATTAAAAACTTTGTTTACTCTCGAAGGCTCAGTAGGATAGCTGAGTTCTGGATTTTAGGCAGGCAATGTTAACAGTTGTGTTTCATGTGTGAGTTTTATTGAGAGCCTGGGTTAAGCCCAGCAATTCTACCACTGCAAAATAGCTGTGTTGATTCTTGGGGGTGGCGGGGAGGGAGAGACTTCACTAGAAAGCTTTCCATGATTACATTGTGAATCCCACCCGATGAGAGGATACACAGCAGGGTGAAGAACATGAAAACTGTGCTCAGACAGCCCAGGTTTAAACCCTGGCTCCCTTACTCACCAGCAGTGTGACTCTGGGCAAGTTACTTAACCTCTCTGTGCCTCAGTATCTTCATCTGTTAAATGAGGATAATGACGATAACAAACTCATAGGTGTTTATTGGAATTCAATATACAAAGAGTAATTGGTGCGTAGCCAGCACTATACCAACGTTTGTTAAATAAAGGTGAATAAGTTAATGTTTCACCTCTCTGCCATAGGGAGAAAATTAGCTGAGAGCTGATTCTGCTAAATTCTGAGAATACTATTAGATTAAGAGGTTTTTGGGGTTTTTTTTTCTTATTTCATGAGAGGTCTAGTTGTTTAGTGTTAGCATGTGCATTTAGGGGGAGTTAATTTCTGGAACCAGGGACATGGCAATCCGTTCTGGGGTCACACAGAACTCAACAGGTATTAGTGGGGTACATTATTGTCCAAAGCTGCAGAGAAATAAAATCCCCCAAATGGTGAAAGAGAATAGTCAAACAGAAGCTTCCATGGGTCTGTGGGTACTGCCTGTGGAGCTCAGGGGCTGGAATAAAGAGGCTGCAGATTCTCCCTATGCATGCATGTGTGTGTGCATACACCTGTGTGCATGAGTTTTCCGCAACACAATGGGGTCAAGTTCAACAAGCAAGAAGTCTTCCCTGTGGCGAGGTGGGGTATAGATGTGAGACCTGTGTTGGAGAGGAGAAAGTACATTTTCTGGTCCTGTGCAATGTAGTTGCTGGCCATTGTTAGTTCTATTAACCAGGAAGACGCCCTGTATCTCCTTTACCTGTACTTTCCAACACATGTGCATATCTGTAGGTGTTTAAGAGGACATTAAGACAGGGGAAACAATGCAGAGTGACCTGTACATACAAGACGAAATAAGCATAACTTTTAGAGTACTAGAGCAACAATTCAAATTAGTCCAGGGTCCAGCCTCAGAAATTAGATGATCAGGCTATTGGAAGAGAATACATTATAATAAGAGCTAATATTTACTGAATACTTTCTGTGGGCCAGGCACTGTTCAAAGCACTTTCCATAAATTAATGTATTTAATTCTCATAACACGTTTCCACGTGAGGAAACTAAGGTACAAAAAGTTTGTATCACTCGTCTAAGATTTCACAGCTAGTCAGAAGCAGGCCAGATTTTGAAATCAGGCTTCAATTTTCCTGGAGCCTGTGTTCTTAACAACTGGGTTATACCATTTTCTATTTTTTTTAATAAATTTTAAAAGCCATAATTCCTATTAACTGTGCCCTATTATCATGCTACATATAGCTCTGTATGCAAGCCACTCAAATTGAAAAAAAGAAGTAACATAATCCTTCTGGATTATCCCAGCCACCCCCACCATATTCAAATGTGTTAACTGGTTGTGTCAGGGAAACCTTTAAGGAGCCCGAACAACCAAAAAAATTATCTCAATGAACTGTTCTAATAAACTTAAGTTTGTAGAAATGAGGCATGGAAAGTTAAGTGTTCCTTGAGAAATATGAATATCTGTATTTTGTGCTACCCATGTCTGGATTATTCCAAATAACCAGATGCTTTCTCTTTTCTCCAATATATTTATATATGTAGGTAGAGTTCATGATACTCAGAAATGAGGGGAAATATTACTGCAATGTCAACACTCCAGAGCAGTTTCTTTGAAATATTTGAAGATCCACAAACACTGAGAATCCAGCTAGCTTAGATCAAAAGTTTCAAGCATCTTTATCTGTGACAAGGATATAAGCAAAGATATAGATGTAGAATATATTCATTTCTATATCCAGGTATAATTATTAATGTTATCCATCTACATATGACTAAGAATTTATGAGGCATTTTAAATGTCCCCAGCTGTAAAAATAGTCTGGATTTATCTTGTGATTTTGAGTGTCTCTCAAAGCTGAAGTGAAGACCTTGTCATTGATTTGCTTTGGATATTTAGTAAGCCCGCCCTGTATCTGCCTAAGATAGAAAGCCGGACTTATTAGTCATTTCTCCATATAAGATTTTGTACTAATGACAAATTTCATAATATTTCCATAGTATAATTATTGATTTTTCTGAAACTTATGCCAAATTAACAGCCTAGCCTCCAGTTGTCAGGCATGAAAAGTTCACATATTTTGTAAATTAAAATCAATATTTTCAATCTCTTCTAAAGGTAATTTTCCTAATTTAGTGGACTTTTCCCTAACATTTATTTTCTCTTTTAATTATAAAATGGCAAGTTATTGATTTTCATATGTAACCTTTTGATGCCCTGAGTGCATTTTTATTGCAAACGTGGGGTGGGGGTGGGGAGAACATTTGCACTTCTTAATGAGGACCTTTAATTACCGGCTCAACAGTATTAATTTGCTTTGATAAATTATGACATTCGCTCTCCCTCACACAGACACACATTCCAGGTGAAGCATTAGAAAGCTGTTATGAAAAGTATTCATTTTGGATTTTTTTTTAATTCTTATCAAGTTGTACCTGTAAGAACACTTTTAAATGCTTATTCAATACCAGTCTCCAGAGCAGATATACATAAATCAGCATATCCAATGAACACATATAAATCTCCAAACACAGGTGAGTGTTTTCCTATAAAGCTAAACCACATTGATTATTTTCTCTGAGTCTAATCATCTTCAGACTCCTTGAGGCTTATTCTCAAGACAAATTATTAGTCAATTAAAAAGAAGTCCAGGTGTATATTGAAGACTTTGGCCAGTGTTTATGGCCAGACCATTTTAAATAAAACTGAAGGCACTAAATAGAAGTAGAATATCTATAAATATGTGCTCCCAGTAGCCTGCCTCAAGTTATTTAGCCTAATTAGAAATACCTTTTCCAAGAATCTGGATGAAGAGGCCTCAAAGGGTGTTCTTACACTTTCCCTGTCAGTGTGAGCAGTTCCCTATTCTTCTCATAAAAATATATTTTTTTAAAAAGTAGTGTCTTTTAGAGATAATCATGGGATCTAGCCAACAAAACTGTTGATTTAAAGCACCTTTAATCTTCATAAATAAGTAAAACGAAATAAAAATAAATAACAGAAGGTTACACAAAGGTGTCGGCGTGGTACTGACAAATGGCAAATTTATCTGTTTCTCAATTGCCAGTAAGACACACACTGCACTGCTCACCCATGTTGTATATCATATCTGCCAAGTCATTTCTGTGATTAAATATTCCATCAGTGGGACTATGAGACAGCAAAGCTTAACAAGATTCATAAGACGTACCACTTGAACACACATAACTCACTTCCATGGAGGGGGAGCACCCCGCCTGCAAAGGAAAATTGGAATTGAGTTAAATTACTCCATGAGACATGATCAAGAGGAAAAGGAAAAGATCTTCTAGGGGAACGCAGAGCTAAGACAGAGTGAGGTCCCGATGACAAGAGACATACAATTAAAGTCAAAAGTAGAGAGAGGCAGAGCAAATCAGCTTAAAAACCTTGAAGATGATGATGAACAACAGTCCTGGTGATACTACTACTTTTAGCAGGTTTGGGGGGAAAGAAGGGAGTCCTGAATATATAATATATCCCTCCTGAAAATAAAAATTTGTAGTTTTAAGAGAAAAAAACAAAAAACAGGCACTAAAAGAAAGTTATAAGGAGTTATAAGGGTTTAAATGGTTATAAGGAGGATCAGATAAGATCATGGCTGTGAGAGAACTCCAGACTGTAAAAGTTATAGAAATATAAAAGATGAGCGTGATC